CCAAATAATTTTGATCAAACTATTTCTGTTTCAGTCATGCTTCTCATTCTTACATATCAAGCATGAGCCAAAAGTAAGTGGATGAATTTTATTATTAGTGTTTTACCATAATTTGAAAAGAATCCACATGGATTAGGCAGCAGTGTCAGCTGAGAAAAAGCAGTGGAAAAATGAGGGAGAGAGGCAAATGAGGCAATTAGTCTGCAGGAATAAAGAGTTGTATTGCTTCATTTTAGAGCTATATGTAGAAGGAACCTCATTGTGCATATAGGAATAATAGCTACAAAATAATTATTGACCATATGCCCCTAAAATGAGAAAGAGAAAAGAGTTTGAATGATATCCACTTTAAGGGGCATGTCATAGTTGGGAACCTTTTCATATCATAGTCCTCATCTGTGTTTTCAGACTTAAATGTTACTGTGTTCCAACTTCATTGAAAAGAGCAATAGGACATCAAGATGTAGAGAATACAACGGAAAATCAGATTATATCTTTCTATATAAAATATAATACAACAATATCACTCCCTAGCTTTTCTCAACTGTTTTTATTGATGACAGCATTACTCTGGTAACTAACATGGAGGTAATAGGGAATGCCATAAAATCAAAATTATTATCTATGTAACATTTCTGTATTTTGGGGTTTTTTTTGACATGAAGTGATATTTCAGAGCTGAATTCAGATAGCCAGTACAGTAACATTCAAAAACCATTTCTTATTATTGCTTCTTTTAATTTATCCATGGGAGGCAAATATTTTCTTTTGTTATTTAACTTCTTGTGGGAAGTTAAATATCTACAGAATATGTTAAAAAGGCTCTAAATTAAATTTGACTGAGTTAAAAGATTTCTGTTGGGGTGTTTATCTAGTTTCTCCTCTGCCATTATCTGTTTGAGTTTGATAATCTTCTGCTTGGTTTAAGAGAAGTATTTTATAATTTCATTGCAGAATGCAAAATATAGGTACAACTTCCCTTTTTTTTTTTTTTTTTTTTTGATAGAACACAAGTAATAATTTGGACTAAAACTCTTTCAATAGACAATCTTTGTAGTACAAGCCTATACAGTATATAGTGAAAGGTGAAATACAGCAGACTAAAAAGAGAATAATTTATTGCTGGAAAACTTGTAGGGACTAAATGCAACAGCAGAATTGAGTTCTGAACTGTAAGTACCACAAGCAAAGTTACCATATTAAAAACTCCATCTAATCAGGTGTAGGAAATACTAGTATTACTTGCTCCATAGTGAAGATTAAAACTAACATCCCATTATGAATCAAGAGACAGATATACTAAAAGCAAGAAAACAAAAACTGTGAAATGCACAGGCTTAATCTTGGCTATGGGCAGAGGATATTTGAATCAAAAAAGAAACCTTGAAAGACAGTTGAAAGAAATCTTCGAAGAAAAATCAGAAAGGAAGTTCAAAACTGAGACCATTCAAGAATGTTTCTGCTTTTCTCTTTCCATTAACGTAGAAAATAGAGATGAAATAGCTTGTATAGCATGGAAAACAAATCTTCAAAGGAACTATTATTTTACAAAAGAATCCTGACAAAATCTTTACAATCCTTACAAAAACTCCAGTTTGTCTATATCAAACCAACAATTCCAGAGTTTCTTTTACTATAGCTAATTATAATGCCTTAGATAAAGACGTTACATGAGTACATGAACAGTTAGATATAATGTTTCTAGGAGATCAAATCCAATTTTTGGATAATTGTATCAAAGATGTAGTGTAATGTAATCTGTCGTGTGAAATGAGATGGAAAATTGTTTGTGTATCTTTAACACTGCCTTCTAAAACTAAGGTTCGTGCTGTAGATTACCAGATTACTTTAAATATGATTATTTAAGAAAGACCAATATCATCCTTATTGTCAAACTTCTATACTTTAAGTTGTCTCAAATAGTTTGCTTTATTCATCTAACAGACAGATTGACCACAAAGTGTATTTTTACTATTCACAACCTAGACTCTTTATCTGGGATTTCATTATCTCAGCAGACTTGCCTCTCACTTTGAGTTGCTTCATAGGAACAGATTTTCTGCTGATCAAATTAACTGTGATACATCAATGTCCTCCTATCCTGTGCTATGAAAGTTGATAAAACAGCAATTATAAAATGTATATTGGGTCTTTTTCACCTAGGGAGCTTGTAGTATACATAAGTAGCATGGAAGTTTCATGAAACTTCTATTTTACTGATTATAAGACAGTTGGCTTTGTTGTGTGATCATATTTTATAGTAATATATCAATTTTTATTAGTTAGCTTATGTACTGAAAATTCAGGGGCTGGGTTCTCACAACTTACAAACCACTAGTACAGAAGTACACAATAATTATTGTGAGATTTCTTCTTAAAATCCATAGTTGCAGCATTATTGTCAGATGTGGACGAGTTTTGCCAAGAATTTGAGCTTTAATCAGCATTTTTTTTTGTGGGTGGATATGAAAAACAAAATAATTTTGTGGGCGTAAACAGAAAAATCACATTTTTCTCTGAACAGCTGTATAATAGGCACTTTTAAAAACTAAATAGTAAACACAGAAGGAAAGGCTGTCACACCATAGCATGTAAGGCAAAATATTTCTGGCTTCCATATTGTGGGAGTTATTATAGAGCACAAAATGCTAAGTAAATTTGGCTGTATGCTTGGACAGCTGACACTTCAAGAAATGAGTTAGAAATCAGACTTCTTTTCAGAGCCATGCCAGTGGTCAACCACTTATGGCTTTGGAGCTAATTGAGAAGTGAGGATACATGCAAATTCTTTATGATCTACAGCTTGTCATACCTATATTTTGTAGGGTTTTTTTTCCCTAATGAAGCTTTTGTGTCATGTGCAAAAATCAGATTTGTTTTTAAACCCAGAAATCATAGTCAGCTTAGTTAATAAGTCATTCCTATGTGTGTGTAATGTATAACTGGAAGACAGAATTAGTAGATAAAGGTAAAGGTCTTTTATTGACCAGTTATTATAACTGAAAAACATTGACAAGCTTTTGAACACATAGGCTTGCTTTATATCTGAAACAGAAAAAGCACATTTCAAGGGCAAAGAACAGCTGAGAAAAATTGCTCAGAGTATCAGAAATATCACATCTTTGAGAAGAAAGATAACTGGTAGATACAGTTAGAGGAGGTATTAGAGAAGAGTGGGAGAAAAGAAGTGAGAGAATCTACTATATGTGTTTTGAGCAAAATAGTTGCAAATACTGAGTCAGTATTCTAGCATGGATGTGTATCCATCGAGGATATTTCTTCATGGAAATGTAAGGAATGGATTCTAAAAAAAAGAAAAAAAGTCATCATCTGATAAAGGAGTTTTTCCTTGTGAAACACACCCCTCGCCCCAGATTTAAAAAAAAAAAAAAAAAATAAAGCCCAAACATTACTAGTTGTATCTCTCTTTTTCATGTCTAAAGCTTTCCTGAGTCACAAGTAGCTGTTGTAGGTTTTAGTTTTGATTTTCTGAAAGCAGAACATTCAATAACAAAAAATGCAATCTAATATTCTTATAGAACTACAAATTAAAAGTTAAAAAGAAAAATACTGAAGGATGTCTTATTGTCCTGTTGAGAGAGAACAGGAAAAAAATTGCTTCTTCATGGTCCTGATCTTTTGACAAAGATTTTTTGTCAATGATTTTTTGGCTGCCGGGCCATTTCTTACCTGATACAGGTTTCTTGCTTTAATGAACGATTTGGTCTCAGACTTAGGCTTGTCACCAGAAGTTTGTAGTTGCTATATTGCTGTCTTCTGTTCTCAGTGGCTTTGAGGGCAGACTTTTTTTACCATCTCACAAGTATAGTCCATAGCATGCTGCATGACCTCAAGAAATACAAAACCCATCAATTTAGGAGTTTAAATGTCTTCTGATACTAGTTTTCTAAAAATCTTTATACATGGTTCCTTGTTATATTTGAACATCCTCACAAATTGACCCTAAAGGCATTTTTCGTTGTGAAACTAAAAGCCAATGAGCAATGATTACAGAGAGCCATCGTATATGGTGTTGTGAAAACAGGAAATGTGGATTTCATTTGTTACTTCTTCTGCACAGTTCATTAAAGGGACTTGATTTAATTTACATAGGTGAAGAGCTATTGCGCAATTGTTCTTTTTAGTCTCCTAGAAGGGATTAACAATCAGTGCATGTGAGACTATGTGTGTAATTGGCACTATGTCTGCCAGTAGCGGGATTCTCACAGCAAATGTAAAGGGCTTACTTTCAAGGATCTGTTTCAGTTAATTTTCATTTATCATGGATGGGTCAGTTTCAACATGATGGGTAGAAGAAGGAAAAGGGAAGAAGCTATGACAGAGTACAAAATTGCTCACCAAGTCTATTAATTTGGGAAGGTTAGCATACTTTGTATTTTAGGAGTGGAGGAAGGTTACCTGTTAGGTACCTACTTTCTCTACCTTTTTTCATGGTAGAGACCTATGGAATTTCTTTAGAAGTCTGCACCTGAAATTGATAGGAAATAAAATGAGGTCAGTATTCTGGAAAGTTGGGAATGCTGTACAAATACTGGTATTTTTGCTGTGCTGGATATTTTTTGGTTACAGGATTTGTTCTCTTACTTGTTCTTTTGAGTGTCCAAGTGAAGATGTAAAGATCAGATTTTTATGAAATAAACAGACTGTTATTCTTAAAATGGCTGGTTTGATTCTTGTGGGTAACTTGCAAAGTAAGGTGTATAAGCAAGAATATCAGAAGCTGGTACTGACTCATCAGAAAGTGAAAATACATGGGAGCATATTAATTTTCAATCTTTAAGTGTAATATTTCTAGATTTCAGTATCTGGCCATAAACCATATTTGAGACTTAATGATACTCTGCAGTGATACAAAATTAATTACTATTTACTAAACATACCTGTGTAGATCACATTAATTATCCGTTTGCCCGATCGCATTATATTAGTATTGAAATTTTGCATATATTTGTTTGTTTATTTTCTATTTTCAGATAGAGATTGAAAAGCTGGACTATCATTGGTATCTGCCTTTGTTTTTTGATGGGCTTTGTGAAATGACATTTCCATATGAGTTTTTTGCTCGTCAAGGAATCCATGACATGCTGGAACATGGTGGAAACAAGATTCTTCCTGTCATTCCTCAGCTCATTATCCCAATAAAAAGTAAGTGAACATGTGGGGAAAAAAATACCTAAAATTTCATTTATATAGCATAGATTTTTGACAAGTTGCTAATTAAACAATAAAACATAACAGGCTGTACATGGAGATGGTTGCAAACATTAATAAATTGTAAGATATAAGTCCAAAAGGCTTATGCCTTCAATAACCTGGTACATGCAGTAATCTGGAAGAATAAACTGTCTGGTTAGTGTTTTTCTTATTACAGTGTGGCTCTTGGTCTTTGGAAATGTGAGGTGACATTTTCTCTACCTGATTTTGAATATTTATTGTGTAAATCCATTACTGTATAAACTACTTAATCTAAACTGACAGGAGAAATCAACAAATGAAACTTATGGAATTATGTTTCTTTTTATTCTTTTGTTTATTCTACAGTCGTATTTATTCACTAGATAGCTTTTCTATCATCGTTCTCATTACTTTGCATATACATGTATCTATCTGAATTGGGACTTCTGCCTCATTAATGTTGCATGTAAAATTTTGGCATTTAAAAATATTAATTTTGAAGTATTTATATATTCAAACATAGTTTTTGGCAGAAAAATTATGTGAAAGGTAATACATTATTTTAGTACTAGTGTAATGCCACTAAAACCCCAAGTATAATGCTACTACAACTAAACCTTCTTTTCTTGAAACATCTAGTCTCTCAGATACATTGTTTTGTCCTTTCCTGTTTCTTTAGATCAGTACCTTGAGGAAATATTACTCTGAACTATCATCCTTCTTTAGTTAAGTATTTTGAGTCCTAAGTCTGCATGCTACACCTATACTAATAGATGCTCTGTTAAACTGAGCTTCTCTTTTATTGGTGACCAGTACTGGTATCATTGCTGTCCCTTGTCCTATTTTCCTGAGATGATTCAGCATCCATGCTAATACAGAACAATTGCATTTGTGATACAGAATGAATAGAGTCAAATACAGTTTTGGAAAAGGGGAAAGGCAATGTAGTTTGGAGCTTGGTAATACTGAAATAATAGTGTTGGAAGAGTCAGAATTGTGGTTTTTTTCATTCAATTTATTCTCCATTTAAAAAGATTAATTATAGATGTCATTATCTCAGTCTTACTGTAGATTTTGAAAATGTCAAAAGGGATATGTAATATTCAGAATGATTACTCTGTGAGTGACATTTGTGAAAGGTTATGAAAACAATGTTACAGGTTTTTCTCTCTAAAAGGGAAACACATAAAGAGGGGAATCATGTCATTTCTTTAAATCTGTATTTCCAAGACCACCTAAATATATTTATAGTAGTATCAATTTTTTTTGAAAGCTGAAGCTGAAATAATTTCTTCTGAAAATACAGCAAGTTTATGACAGCAGCTACTCAGTTAGGATTTAAAAGTCTTGCTGAGACCAGAATCTAGCTTAGAGATAATTACCTGGAAGCTTTAGCTGTTACACAGCTTTTAGAATTAGACTGCAAGGTAAGAACATTTATATGGGTTTGATATACAGTATTTTGAATCAAGTCATAATTATGATGCTGGAACACATTCAAGAATCTGCTAGCTGAATTTAGTTTTTGGTAGGCAGTCTGAAGAAGAAGCGAATAAAGCTCATGTCTTTACACTTACATTGTAACTTAGATGGAAGCATTGTTTTTACACAGTTGCAGTCAGCGGACCAGCACTTCGATTGAGTCCAAAAAGAACAATCTCCATCCTAAGGACCATTGAAATTTTCCTTTTTGAGGCTTTTTCCATGCTGTTAAAAATCCCTTGTGACACAGTAGGTCAAGGATGCCTTAAACTTTGTTGAAAATATTTCATTAAGGGAAACAGACTTTTTGTGAGTCTGATACAGAGAAATGCACAGAGCAGTCCTCCCTCAATGTCACCTACAGAGTCCATTTTAATGTTTAATAAATTTCTAAATTAAACTGATTTCTGTTTTCTTGTTCTCCCTTCTATTTGCCTGTAAAATGTGGGTTATTGTCTTGGACAACAGTGCAGTTAATTCCCATTTAATGTCAAATCAGTGTCACTGTTGCATTTACATAAGTAAAGCTGGACCTGTTGCTAGCAGTTGTTCTAAGCTCATTTATATTTATATTTCTCCTCATATATCTTCACCGCATTTAAGAGTATTTATCAGTCATTAAGTACTTCCTTATTTCACAGAATGCTGAAATATTTTTGTGGAATAAATATGGTTTTCTGGGCTGTAGTCTTTTTCTTTCTGTAAATCATGTAAGTTGATTTCTGTCATCTACAGAAAGTAAATTATACCTTCAATGGAATTGTTATATTCTGACTGACTGACTGTTGCTCTTGAGAACCAGTTCTGGTTAAGATCACAGACAAACATAACTCTAAACAAACTTGGTTTTATAGACTTAAAATGCTTTTAAAGAAAGCAGAGGATTAAAAAGAAGTAATCTTGATTCTTAAATACCAAAGCATTTCTGCCCTGTAGGCTCCATCAACCAGTGCAAGTGGTTGCAGTTAGAAGGTTTATGTTAAATTCTTCTACTCAAAACTGGTCATTTTAGGTAGTTTCAAATAGTATAGAAACTAGATTCTTTATTACTACTCTTTACTCCTGTCTATGAGAAGACACCGTGTTTCTCATTCAGTAAAGATAAATCTAATCCGTGTTTGGAAAACCAAATCTGCAGTTAACATCTCTCACTTCTGAAGTTGGAGTTAGAGCTATTCTCTCCTGATTTTATTAATTTATTAATCTTTAACACTTATCAGTACTGAATTTCATCTGCCATTTTATGACCCAGTCATTCTGTACTGCAAAGTCCTTCTGTAGTTCTTCAGAGGCAGCCCTTATCTTTGACATCTAGAATAACTTGGTATCATCAGAAAACTTTGTTACTCGTTAGTAAACATCTCTCCCAAATCACCTGTGAATCTACTGAAAAATGTGAAATTCACTACAGATTCCTGCAAGGCTCTACTAGTGACGCTCCTCTGTGGCCATTTATTGTTGCCCTCGTTTCCTATATCTAAACAATTATTTATTAATATGGAAACCATGGCAATGAAGCATTTCAAAAGCCTTCAGTGAGGGACTTTATCAAATACCTTTCAGAAGTCCTAGAAAACCATATTACCAGGCTTTTCTTGTCCACATTCTTCTTCTTCAAGGACCTACAATACATTTAAAACACTATATTAATTTCTGCAGTACAGATGCCAATATTACTGGTCTTTGGTTCCCTGAAGTATTTTTTTAAATGGTATCACATTTCATTGATAAGGAAGCTGTTTTCGTAGAGAAGGTGGGTACGCAGTGCAGTTTAGTAGCTTGAGGCAGCACAGGGGAAGCAATGTACGTCTAGGAATGGAAGGAAACCCTGTAAACTGGCATAGCCACTGAGAAGGTTTTTGGGACTCTATTCTCATCGTATTCTTTATAGAATCATAAAATCATAGAATGGTTAGGGTTGGGATACTAGTTAATTAAACAGGGCCCGCAAATGTTAGTAGAAATCAAGTTTTTAGGTGTTATCTAGTAGAACGCTACAATTACAAGCACAACTAAAGCTGAAAAAAAATGCCACCAGCTTTCTCTTCAGTATTCTGCTAGATCACGTTTCTTGCGAGTATGAATGATTCAGTTATGGATCTTAGCCTTTTTTGCACCTTAGGCTTTGGCTTTACAGGTCTTTGATGACAAAGTTGGCCTAAGGTTTTCATGCCTTGCCCTCTATTCCTCCTTCCCATCACCTCACTGCAACACATAACTCCTTCAGAAGGAGTGGAAGAAATATCTGTACATCTATATTGTAAATTGAACCGGGATCTTACCTGACTTTAAAAAAGTACAGAACATAAGGTTGTTATTCTGGGTTTTATTCACTCTTGATTGAAACATGGTGTTTTAAAACAGCCTTCATTACTGTTCTGTAAAATCAGCATAATACTTCTATTATATCATTTCAGATAGTTAAGTATTATGCTTTTTTCTGGACAAAATTCTCTATAAGAGAAGCACCTATCACTTTCATCAGCTGCATTTTGAGAAAGTATTATGCTTTTTTCTGGACAAAATATAAGAGAAGTATCTATCACTTTCATCAGCTGCATTTTGAGAACACTTCATGTTAGCAATTCTTTAAACTTGTCTCTATGAATTTAAGAAAAGAAGCCCTTGATCAACAAGATTAAGTAAATCACAACAGTAGAATCATCTTTCTCATGTGTGCTTGTTGCCTTGCAGGAGACCTGCTCTCCTCTTCTCCTGGAAAAGTGTGTACCCTCACACAAGCAAAATTGTCATGTTTATATACCATTAAAGGAGAAAATATCGGAACTACCAAACAAGAGACTCAGTTTATTGGGGTGGATTTTTTTCAAAGTTGCTGCTTAAGAGAATTGTACAATGCATAGCATGTAGACTAGATGACCAAAAAGGAAATCTAGACCATTTAGGGTGATAAGTCCTCTAAAAACCTTTAGGGAGTGGAAAGGTATCTAGCTGACAAGCAACGTGGTCATTCACTTTGCTGTTATTGTGAAGATCCTCATCTTACTGTCAAGAGGCGATAGCCTGGCATGCTTTCAAATTGGAATACTTTAGATATTATGCATGTTTCCTTCTTTAAGAATATGTGGCAGTACGGAGTTTTAAATGGTCTGTTTTATTCCTGTGTAAGGATTCTAGTACTTTCTTCCATTTCTGTTAACCTCCAGGTATCACTGACATTTTTCAAAATGTTGAAATGTACTTACTTCATATACTGCATTGAAATTTTCTTCCTTTGATTCATGTGGGAGAGTGGTCTGCAGTGATGGTAGTACACAGAAAATAATGACCAGATTTTGGAAAGATAAACATATGTTTGAAATTGACGTCTCCTTAGGGCAGGGCCTGTCTCTAATTAAATGTTTATACAGTGCCTAATATAATCAATCTAGGAGCTGGTTGACTGCTATGCATGCCACAGTCCATATATTTAATAATAATAACTACAGTTCTGCAGGCAATTTGATCTTACTTTTGATATTTACAAGTGTTTTCCTAACACACATTGCAGATTTCTGCAATTTGAAGGGCTTCAGGCTCAAATTCTGTAGTCTGTTTGATTCTACCATATCCACCACTTTAGCACTCAAAGTCTTGCTCCAAATTCTGTCTTTTGTTTTGTGTGTCAAATGGAGGATGGGATGCCCTTGTTTTGAGGGAGGCGGGACAAGTATCCAGCTGATTTGCTACCATGCAGATGAAACAAGTGCCAGTATTACTGTTTAAAGTTCCAGCAAGCACCCCTACAGCGCAACTCAGATGTAAGGAAACCTGCATGACAGGTTCTGTGATGACTTCTTCTTTGAAAACATTATTCTGGATTCAGTGTGTGTTCCGTTTACTGTACTCATTGGGACGTCTCCTCAGTCGTGGGGCATAATTTATGCTATTGACTTTATTAAGGAATTAATCTCTCCCGGGCAGTTGTGGCTTCCACTCAAACCTCAGTTGTCTTTGGACAAGACAGAACTCTGAAAACAGGAAACTGTGAAAGCCTTTGGGAGCCACCATCTGCAGAAAAAAGTTCTTCCTAAGGCTGGTTGGACAGCCCTTTCCATGATGCCCTCTGCATGCCTAAAAGTAAGGTCTCTCATCCCTTAGGCCAGGTTCTACAGTCAGGAAGAACTATGCCTGGAAGTGGGTATAATTTGGTTAAGGATTAAGAAGTTGTGATTTATGTCATTGATTAATTTTTATGATGTCCCTTAATTGATTAGTGTTTGTATGAATAATTAATTTTGTTCATTTTATTCATGTTTGTATGGATTCATTCCTACAAGTAAATACAAATATTCATTCATGTTTGGATGAATAACTCATAATTATGGTACTGAGAGTTACAGGTATTCATGATAATTCCCCTGTTAGTTTACGTGTATGGCAATTTAGGCATGAACAAACCTTTGTGTTCGAACCTCAGAGCTTCCTTTTCCAGTCACTCCTTTAAGAAAGTAAATAATGCCTGTTCCTCTGTAGAAGAATGTTTTCCTGCCTGAGGTGTGGACTGAATCTTTAAAATTGTATCTGGGGTCTCTCTTTGCTAAAACAGCCTTAAAACATCTACCCAGGAAAGCGTACGTTGGAACAGCCAGCCTATTTGCTGGAGCTTAGTGTGAGCGTGCTGCTTGGGTGGGCTCCACGTCCACAAACTTATGTGATCCAATATCAATATCAAATTGGGTGTGGTTTGATGACTGCAGCAGGGACTGGCAAATAAGTATGGAATTCAATCTGGATTGTTGTTTAACAACACTTCTTTAACTTGGAATCACCCTGTGATGCACTGCAGTGCCTTTATACTTTGGGCTCTCCAACTCTTTAAGGGTAGTTTTAGCGTGCCATTCATAATGCCAAGAAGCATGAAGGGAGGTTACTTACTAGCTGGTTTTCAAGAGTTGTCTCTACACAGTCACACAACCAATCTGCGTGCCCTTGCTTTGGAGCTCTAGCTGATTTTTAACACTCAGCAGGCATATGATAAGGAGAAGCGGGTGGGGCACCATGCATTTGCTTAAAGCCATGGAAAAACTGCCATGGCTTCTGTGTGAGGATACGACTTCATTCCCTATGAAACGGCATTC